CTTATATATATATATATAAAGGAGAAACTTACGTCTCCTTTCTTATAAAGGAGACACTTGTGTCTCCCTATATAAAAGGAGACACTTTTGTTCCCTTATAGGAGACACTTATATCTCCTTATATATAAGGAGACACTTATATCTCCTTATATATAAGGAGAGACTTATATCTCCTTATATATAAGGAGACACTTATACCTCCTTAATAAGGAGACAATTGTGTCTCCTTATTAAGGAGACAATTGTGTCTCCTTAATAAGGAGACAATTGTGTCTCCTTAATAAGGAGACAATTGTGTCTCCTTATTAAGGAGACAATTGCATGTGTCTCCTTTGTTGGGTCCCTTATCGCACTGTATGTGTATATTATCTACATATAGAGATAAATAAATAATATATATAAATATAAATAAAGAATATAAATATAAATAAATAAATAAATAAATAAATATATTTATTTATTTATTTATTTATTTAATTAATTAATTTATTTATTTATTTAAACTGTACAATTATCTACTTATATAAGGAAGAGATGCGATTAAGAGGAAAAAAGACAATAAATAAATAAATATAAAAGGAGACACTTTTTGTCTCCTTTTCTTTCTTTTTTTTTTTTATTTATTTATTTTTATTTACTGTTTGCCTCCTTTTTTCTTATTATTATTCTTTCTTCTGTCTCCTTACAAGTATGTCATTGTCCCTGCAGCAGCAGCAACAGCAACAACAACAAGAAAAAGAATAATAAATAAATATACACAAAAAGAGACACAAACATCCCCCCACCAACCCTACACAGGTAGCTAGCTAGCTAGCTAGCTAGCTATCCACAAGAATAGCTAGCTGTCTCCCCATGAGGTGCCTAACCCGTCCCCTGTCCCTGCCTATCTCCCGGTATATAGATAGCTAGCTAGGCATAGATAGGTAGTTAGGTAGCTATAATTAGCTAGCTAGATAGCTAGCTAGCTAGCTAGCTAACCATAGATAGGTAGTTAGATAGCTATAATTAGCTAGCTAGATAGCTAATTAAATAAATAAGAAGAAGGATAGCTTACCCGTCATCCATTGGGTGAATTCCCTCTCATTAATGGCACTTTTTTGGTGCTCATCTAAGGCATTATATATTATACCTAGATCTATTAAATTAAATTGTATATTTGCTGCTGTATAATCAGCAGCAAGATGATTAAATTCCTCTATTTGTATACCATGATTATTATCTATGCATGCATATTTATTATATATTTCCTTATATTGTCCCCTACTTTTTATTAATATATTTCTTCTTAGTTTCTCTAGTCTTATACTTTTTCTTATAGCAATAAGGAGACCAGCAACAGCAACAAGGGAGACAGCAGCAGCAAATACAGCAGCAAATATATTTGCTGCTGTAGATCTATTTATATATATAGATGCAGAATAAGAAGGAGAATAAGAAGGAGACAATATTATATAAAGGAGACAACTTATATATAATAAAAATAAACTCTTCATTGTTAATCTTGTTAAAAAACAAAAGTGTCTCCTTATTATAGATCTATACCTTCCTGCCCAACGGGGACTACCAGGCATATCCGTTAGCATCAATAAGAATCCAAATATCCTGCATATATTCACATATTTATTTATTTATTTATTTATTTATTTATTTATTTATTTATTTATTTATTTATTTTATTTATTTATTTTATTTATTTATTTAAGGAAAAAAAAAGGGAAAAAAAAGAAGAAAAATTAAAAAAAAAAAAAAAAGGAGACAATTATATATAAAAAGGAGACAGGTAGGTAGGGAAGGAGACAGGTAGGTAGGGAAGGAGACAGGTAGGTAGGGAAGGAGACAGGTAGGTAGGTAGGGAGGGAGACAGGGAGATAAGGAAGGAGGAGACACAGCAATATACAGGGAGAGGTAAGAAAGGAATAAAGAGACAGGAAAGAAGAGACAGCAGCAGAAACAGCAGCAGCAGCAGCAGCAGCAGCAAGAGAAGCAGCAAAAGAGACAGTAACCCCAACAACAGCAACACAACACCAGCAGCAACAGCACGAAGAGCAGCAGCAGCAGCAGCAACAGCAGCAGCAGCAACAGCAGCAGCTGTATAACTTACACAAGGAAGATACATACTCCCAAGGAAGGTAGATCAAATCTAGATAAGCTGCCTATACAGCCGAATAATCCTGCTGCAGCAGCAGCAGCAGCAGCAGCAAAGAATAAAGATTGATATTTACAATTAATACGCAGCAGCAAATCTTCTATCTTTGCTCCTCCGCTCTCTACTTGATCAGCAAGATGTGCAGCAGAAGAGGGAATAGGAGGAGGATAAGGAGATGTCTCTCCTGTTATTAATCCTTGAGGATCTGCAGCAGCAACAGCAGCAGCAGCAGCAGCAACAGCAGCAACAGCAGCAGCAACACCAAAAAGCAACACCATATGAGGGAATGGCAGAAAAAAGGGGCAAAAAATATTATTTATTCATGTATTTATGGTGTATAGGGTACAGGTACTTTATGCATGCATATGCTGCTGCTGCTGCTGCTGCTGTTGCTGTTGCTGTTGCTGTTGCTGCAGCAGCAGCAGAGTGTGCAGCAAAGAAATAATCACAGACAATACACAACATGACACTCAAACATCTGCTGCTGTTGCTGCTGCTGCTGCTGCTGACGAAGGTTCTGCTTATGCTGCTGCAGCACTAGTAGCTACTAGCAGCAGCAGCTAGTGCTGCAACAGCAGCACTAGCTGTATTGAGAGCAGCAATTGCTGTTTGCTGCATTTGCTGCTGTAGGATCAGCAGCAGCAGCAGCAGCAGCAGCAAATGAAGATCATAAAGCAGAAGATAAAGGGAAGCATATATAAACCCTAAACCCTAAACCCTAAACCCTAGTCAGTGTCGGCGCCGCCGCCGCCGCCGCAGCAGGGGCCCCTGCTGCTGCTGCAGCTGCAGCAGCAGCAGCAGCAGCAGCAGCAGAGTTTGAGGCCTCTTAAGGGTTTGTTGAGAGGGAATTGAGTATATGAATAAAAGAAAAGAATAAAAAAAAAGAAAAAAGATAAAATTAAATATAATTTACGGTGTATAGGGAGGGCTCACCAGCAGCAGCAGGAGCTGCAGGAGGATCAGCAAACATTTTCTTGTATTTGTTTGTTAATATTTATTTATATATAAATTAAATAAATAAATATAAATAAAAAATAAAAAATAAAAATAAAAAAAAGAAGAAAAAGGGCTTTTTATTGCTGCTGCTGCAGCACCTCATGTTGCTGCGCAACAGCGATGATGATGCAGCTGCTGCTGCAGCTGCAGCAAGCAGCAGCAGCAGCAGCTGCAACACAGTCTTCAGCAGCAGCGGCCTGCTGCTGTTGCTGCTGCTGCTGCTGCTGCTGCTGTCGGCAGCAGTCGAGTGAATATTAAGGATCTATATATCTTCCTTTCTTTTTCTTTTTTTTTATTTATTTTTTATTTTATTTATTTTATATTATTATATATAATATATATATTAATATAAAAGAACATATATACAACCAGCAGCAGCAGCAGCAGCAGCAACACCAAGAGTTCTCGCTCCTGCTGCAGCAAGCTGCCTATACACCTCAAAACACAACGGCCTGCTGCTGCTGCTGCTGCGGTGTATCCGTACGCTCCTTTTTTTATATTTTTTTTCCTTTTTTCCTTTTTTTTTCTTTTTTTTAATTATAATTAAATAATTAAATTAAATTAAATTAATTATATTTTATTTGCTGCTCTTTTTTTATCCCTTTTTATTAGCTGTCTCCTCTTATCTCCTTTATTATTCCTTTCCTTCCTTCTTTTCCTTTCTTCTTCTTAGTTAGCTAGCAGTCTCCTTTCTCCTTATAATAAATAAATAAATAAATATATTATTTAATTAAATTAAATATAATTAAATATAAATAAATACATTTATTTGTCTATTAACAAAGAAAATAAACAAGAAAAAGGAGACAAATAAATAACAATATATATAGATCTATATTAGCCCTGCATATATACCTTTCTTAGTAGAACTGCAGCAGCAACAGCAGCAGCAGCAGCAGCAGCAGCAGCAAATATCCATTATAAAAAACAATATAAATGTATTAGAATAAGGAAGACAAGCAAAGGAGACACAGAAGAGAGGCGCAGCAGCAGGAAGTCCTGCTGCTGCTGCTGTTGTAGACAATCCTGCTGCTGCTGCTGCTGCAGCAGTAACTGTACGACGAGCAGCAAAAGAGACAAAAAAAAACAACAAAAAGGAGACACATTATATTGTCTCCTGTCTCCTTGTGTCTTTATTTATTATTGTCTCCTGCTGCTGCAGGCTGCAGGCCTTATTATATACAATAAGGTGTCTCCTTCTTAGGTGTCTCCTTCTTAGGTGTCTCCTTTTGTGTCTCTCTGCTGTCTCCTTTCTCCTTACCACTACTGAGGTGTATACGCACCTTCCTGCTGTCTCTGTTATACCTCCATTGGCACGCTACCTAGCTAGCTAGCTAGCTAGCTAGCTAGCCAGTAAGCTGGCTACCTAGCTAACTAGCTAGCTAGCCAGCTAACGAGTTACTTATCTAGCTAGCTAGCTAACCAGCCAGCTAGCTAGGAAAAAGAAAAAGCCCATGGGCACAAATGAGGTGTACGTACACCTAAAGCGCATGCATGCATAAAGGCTAAGGTGTATGTACACCTCATAAATACATTTGTACATTAGGTGTACAGCTGCCTATACACCTGAGTAGCTGCCTATACACCCGAGCTGCCTATACACCTGAGCTGCCTATACAGCCGAGTGTGTTGTTGGTAATTGTAAAGAATTAACCAACAGCAACAAACGATCTTCGTCATCTTCTGCCTCTCGCCATTGCTGCTCTCTTACAGCTATCTGCAGCAGCAGCAGCAGCAGCAGCAGAAGCAGCAACAGCAACAGCAGAGGAATGAGGTAAAAAAGAGAGCAGCAGTAACAACTACGAGACCATCACAGCAGCAACAGCAACATCAACACAAGCAGCACCGATAACAGCAGTAACAGCAGCAGCAGCAGCAGCAGCAGCAGCAGGAATAATAACTTACTAGTGCATGCCCAGCAAGATTAAGATGTTTATATTTGAGGTGTACGTACACCTCAGAGGGTAATACATAATCATCTAATGTAGATACATCTCCTAATACAGCAAGGGAGTACCTGCTGCTGCTGCTGCTGCTGCTGCTGTTGATGTATGCTTGCTGCTCGCCTTGCAGTACCTCTTCTGCAGTCACAGTAGCTCCTGCTGCTCCTCCTGCTGCTGTTGCTGCTGCTGCTGCTGCAGCTGTTGGCCATACAAAGAGAGACGCAACACGATATGTACGGAGACACGGGAAGTCCTTGAAGTGTACAGACACCCCAACTCTCTTAAGACTCTCCTTGTCAGCTAGCTGCTCCAGCTCCTGCTGCTGCTGCTGTTGCTGCTCGTCCTCGTCCTGCTGCTGCTCCTCCTCATCCTGCTGTTGCTGTTGCTGGTGTTGCTGCTGCTGCTGTTGCTGCTGCTGCTGCTGGAGGCGAGCGTCTACGGTGAGTAGGAGTCTTTCTCTTATGCTCTCCTGTGCAAGGAAATCCTCAATCTGTACACAGCAGCAGCAGCAGCAGCAGCAGCAGCAGCAGCAGCAGCAACAGCAGTCGGATGTCTATCGAAGCTGCGTTACAGCAGCAGCAATTGCAGCAGCAACACCACGTACAAACTGCCTTCGAACAACCACAGCAGCAGCAAACACAGCAGCAGCAGCAGCAGCAGCAGGAGCAGCACCTCTTGTTCAAGTAGTGCCTGTTTCTCATCCTGTTGTGTCTCTGCTGCTTCGCCAACAGCAGCAGCAGGAAAAGCAGCAAACTCCCCAAGGCCCTTGCGCTGCAGCAACTGCAGCAAAAGCAGCACAAGACACACGAAGCTGTCATGCTGCTGCTGTTGCTGCTGGCTATTTATCCGCTGCTGCTGTTGCTGCTGCTGTTGCTGCAGCAGCAGCAGCAGCAGGTGTGCGTACAGCGCAGCGACTAACCTCCCTCATAGGCTGTGCCTTTGGATCAAGATAAAGATCAAGGGCTATTTGCTGCAGACGCATCGGCAACTCTCCCCATAAGTCGCTGCAGCAGCAGCAGCAGCAGCAGCAGCAGCAGCAGAAACAGACGTAGAAGACAGATCGAGCAGAAATAAGCATAAGTACCAGCAAACAGCTGCATCAGCAAGCAGCAGCGGCTCCAGCAGCATGAGCTGCAGCAGCAGCAGCAGCAAGCACGATATATATAGTGGCCGTATCCTTACTCGGAAGCAAGTGCGCCCTGTTGCTGCAGCAGCTGCACTTGCTGCAGCAGCAGCAGCAGCAGCTGTTGTGATCCTCTATGCAGCTGCAGCGCCACTGCTGCCCATGCTGCAGTTACGGCCTCAGAGAAGCAGCAGCTGCTCGCTCTCTCCGTTAGCTGTCGCTCTACCTCCTGCAGCAGCAGCAGCAGCAGCAACAGCAGCAGGAAGAGTAGGAGAAGGAGCAGCAGCAATACCAATAGCAGCACCAGCAGCAGCAGCAGCAGCAGAATAAGTTGTTAGAACTACGTCATCTGCTATCCATATAACTAATACACAATGCAACAACAACAGCAGCAGGAGCAACAGCAGCAATAGCAGCAACAGCAGCAGCAGCAGCAGAGGTAATAAATTGTATAGAAAGGAGACAGTTGTGGGGTATGGGGTGTATATACAGTTAATAAGGAGATAGAAGGTGCTGCTGATGGATTATTTTGTAGGGCAGCAAGAGACAGGAGACAATCAATAAGACGAGAGACAGATAACAATGGCGCAATACCTGCAGTAGCAGCAGCAGCAGCAGCAGCAGCAACAGCAACAGCAGCAACAGCAATAGCATCAATAGCAGCAAGTAACCACAACAGCAACAACCAGCAGCAACAGCAACACACTCAGCAGCAGCAGCAATACACCCGCAGTAGGGATACCCTCAACACCAGCAGCAACAAAATCAACAGCAGCAGCAGCAGCAGCAGCAGCAGCAGCAGCAGCAGCAGCAGCAGCAGCAGGACGTACGTGTAAGATGATAAGAGATTTCTTGGTAAGCAAATGCATTAGTTGCCCCTAAGGTAGATAAGGATAAATAAACAGAGGAGAGGGGAAGCAGCATTAGCTGCTGCTGCTGCATCTCTTCCCCTTGCTGCTGCTGCTGCTGCTGTTGCTGTTGCTGCTGCTGCTGCTGCAGGTGTACTGCTGCTGTAGGGCCACCGAACTGCAGCGCCAGCTGCAGCCGCAAGGCATCAGCAGCAAGATTAATAAGAGGAAGATAACGAATACGTAAGGAGGATAGGCCTATTAGCAGCAAACTTATATCCTCCCCTGTAAACCTTTCTGCTGCTGCTGCTGCTGCTGTTGCTGTTGCTGCTGTTGCTGCTGTTTCTGTATCTGCTGCTGATGGTGTGTCTGCAGCAGCGTCATCTCCTGATCCTTCTAATGTCTTTTGCTGCTGCTGCAGCAGCAGATAGACGTGGTGTACGTACACCTCAAGGAAGGCATCAAGGTCTTCCTTAGGTAGCAGGGATTGCTGCTGCTGCTGTCGCTGCTGCTGCTTCTCGCTGCTGCTAGGGGACAGTGTAGGGCAGCAACTGCCTGTTGCTGCTGCCACCAGCAGCGGCAGCTGAGCTAGCTGCTTCGTTGTCAGCTGCTGCAGAGGCACAGCAGCAGCAGCATCAGCAGCAGCGTCACTGGGGGGCCCCTTGGGGGCCCCCTTCCCAAGGATATAAAGAAGGCGGGAAAGTATATCAGGAGGGCAGTGCTGCAGCAGCAACAAACAGCAGCAGCAGCAGCAAACAAATGCAGCAGCAGCAGCAGCAGAAACTGCGAAGAAAAGGGAAAGAACTGCAACAAACAAGCTAATAGCAGCACAACTGCAGCAGCTACAGCAGCAGCAGCAGCAGCAGACCTGTAGACGTGCTAAGGAGACAAGGAGTCTGTACAGCTGAGGGGTAGAGAATCCAATTAATCTGCTGCGCAGCAGCAGCAGCAGCTGCTTGAATCTGCTGTCATTTAGCAGCAATTGCTGCTGCTGCTGCTCTGCAGCAGCAGCAGCAGCACTAGATATAAAGGAAATAAACTCATCAGGAACAATGCTCGTGTTGCTGATTCCCTTGCTCCTGCTGCTGCTGCTGCTGCAGCTACTGCTGCTGCTGCTGCTGCTGCTAGGGTGCGCGAAGGAAGTGTGCTGCCGCTGCAGCAGCTGCTGCACACTCTGCAGCACTTCTTCTACTGTTAATCGATTGTGCTGCTGCAGCTGATGCAGCAATTCCTCCTCAACTGTTCGTGCTGCTGCTGCTCTGCCGCTGCTGCTGCTGCTACTGCTGCTGCTGCGGAATTGAAGGCATGCTGTCGGTGTAGCTCTACTTGCAGCAGCAGCAGCAGCAGCAGCAGCACGAAGCGGGAGGAAGCTGCTGTGGGGCTGCAGCAGCTGCACCCCAGCTCTGCGGCATGCAAGGAGGCGCAGCAGCGCCATCTTCGATGCCATTATGCTCTGCTGCTGCTGCTGTTGCAGCAGCAGCAGAGCAGCAGCAGCTGCTGCTTAACGTATTACTAAATCTTCTTGTAGCAGCAGCTAGTAATTGTTATAATGGTATTATTAGCAGCAGCAAGCTGCGGTGTCTACCTGCTGCTGCTGCTGTTGCTGCTGCTGCTGGTTGCAGCAACACAGTTACTGTCAACTACAGCAGCAGGAGCAGCAGCAGGAGCGGCAGCAGGAGCAGCAACAGCAGCAGGAGCAACTAGGCAGCAAATGCAGCGGGGGGCCCTGCCTGTCTTGATAAATTCCTAAGAAGGGGCCCCTTCTTAAGGAGAAGATGGGCCCTGGGCCCTTAATAGCAGCAGGAGCAGCAGCACACCCTGTTGCTGCTGTTGCTGCTGCCTGCTGCTGCTGCTGGTACAGGCGAGAGGTGTTATGGTTGCTGCTAGTGGTCTCCTTGCTGGGTGTGTGGTTGCTGCTGCTGCTGCTGCAGTTTGCTGCTGCAGCATAAACACAAAACAATTATTTAAGGAAGACAATTATATATTATCTTGCATAACGTTTCCTGCTGCTGCTGCTGCCCGGCTTCCTCGGGGCCCTGCCGCAGCAGCAGCAGCAGCTGCTGCTGCAGCAGCAGCAGCAGCAGCAGCAGCAGCATCGGCCTGCTGGCAGCAACGGGAGGCGCAGCAGCAGCTGCTTCCTCTTTAAAGTTTTTTATGATCTCTTTTAGGGGATCTGACGGTAATAAGCTCTATAAGTAGCTGGGTTTTGCTGCAGCAGCTGCAGCAGGAGCAGGAGCAGGAGCAGCAGCAGCAGCAGCAGCAGGAACCTCGACCCCTCGCATGCAAAGGGGGGTCTTTAAGGGCCTTACTAAGGCTCTTTCTGTTGCCTCCTCTTATAATAGGCAGCAAAATTAGGGTGTATAGACACCTGATCAGCAGCAGCAACAGCAGCAGACACCGGTGCTGGGGTAAAGCAGCCACCCTGCGGCAGCAGCAGCAGCAGCAGCAGCAGCAGCGGGAGCTGTAGAAGCAGCAGCAACTTTTCCGGCCCCTGAAGACATTTCAGGGATAACGACTCTTGCGCAATTGTTGCAGCAAGAAGGGTTGCTGCAGCAACAGCAGCAACAGCAGCAACAGCAGCGAGTGGCAGCAGTGGCAGCCCAGCAGCAGCCGCTGCAGCAACAGCAGCAACAACAGCAGCAGCGTATAAACAACAAGTGTACATACACCTTATTTAACTCATGGAGGTAGACGACGGGCCGACAACGGCCCCATCATCTGCTGCTGCAGATGCAGCAGCAGCAGCAGCAACAGCAACAACACCAGCAGAACCAGCAGCAGCAACAACAACAGCAGAAACACCAGCAGCAGCAACAACAACAACAACAGCAGAAACACCAGCAGCAGCAGCAACAACAACAACAACAGCAGCAGCAGCAACAACAACAACAGCAGCAGCAGCAGCAGCAGCAGATAATTCCTCTGAGCCCCATGAGGGTAATGCAGAGGCAGCAGAGGAAGCAGATGAACCATCAGAAGATGAGGATGAGGCCAGTGAAGAGGGTACGTCTGCTGCTGCTGCTGCTGCTGCTGTTGCTGTTGCTGCTGCTGCTGCTGCTGCTGCTAGGTGTAATGAAATGTTAAATGATTGATTGTGCTTTTTTTGCTGCAGAGGAGGAAAGCGATACTGGAGGCGCTGCTATGCCGGTAGGTTGCTGCTGTTGCTGCTGTTGCTGTTGCTGCTGTTGCTGCTGTTGCTGTTGCTGCTGCTGCTGTTGTTTGTTTTGCATGAGTTGTTGATAGTGTTTCTGCTGCTGTTGCTGCTGCTGCTACTTTTTTTCATGTAAACTGCTGCAGCGTCTTAGTATCCCTATCTTCTTTTGCTGCTATTAATGCTGCTGTTGCTGCTGTTGCTGCTGTTGCTGCTGCTGCTGCTGCTGCTGCAGGAAGGAGACTACAGCGAGAGACTGATGGAGTTGCTGCGGCAGGCAGATGAATATTCTGCCCAAATAACAGGAGGAGTAGCTCCTGCTACCAGCAAGAAGGTAAACAGCAGCATGAGCAGCAGCAGGAGCAGCAGGAGCAGCAGGAGCAGCAATTGCTGCTATAGTGCAGCATACAACAATGTGTCTCCTTTTGTTGCTATGTGTCTCCTTCCCTATAATATAATATATTATATAAACCCCCTTTTCCTCATATTTTTAGCTTGCCCTATCTCCTCCTCCTGCTGCTGCTGCTGCTGTTGCTGCTGCTGCTGCTGCTGCTGCTGCAGGCGTCTAGTGCCCGTTCTCATATATTAACAGAGAAGGAGGAGGACGATCTGCTGCTGCAGGCAGCAGAAGAAGAAGAAGAAGAAACAAATAAAGATTTATTTTTTTATAAAATAACACAGCAACCTAATTGTATAAAAGGGACCATGAAAAGTTATCAGATTGAGGGACTTAATTGGTTATATCAATTATATAGAGTAAGTATATATTATTCTCTCCTTTATTGTCTCCTTTATTGTCTCCTTTATTGTCTCTTTTTTTTTTCTCCTTTTTTTCTCCTTTTTTTTCTCCTTTTTTTGTC